AAAAATGTGACTAGTTTCATGTAGAGAATTTTATTAGACATGACTTAGACAGCAAGTTATGCAGTTATTCGTCAATTTATTTTATTCGTATATTCACAACTTACCCAAAAAAAATTGGGGATAGATACCTCGTGAAAAATGGGGTCACTATCGTGAACAAATTTTTGTAAAATCCTTATTTTTGATTTTTTGTACCTATAAAAGTCCTCTGTACATTTTTTTTCTAAATCACCCTGTATGCTTTGTTATGCAAATAACATCGAGCTGCTCCAGAATGATCACGCTTACCCGATCAAAGTCAAGTGAGAAAGGGTAAACTACGGTAAGAAAGTGACATTGTCCAAAACATGTTGTCTAACAGATTGTGTCACACATATACAACTCGTATTAACAAAGAATGTTGAGGAAGTAAATACACACACATAAAAATACAAATGATGCATTTAAATTCATATCAGACCGGCAAGTGAAATTATTTCGTAACCCTGTCTGTTTGACTTACCAACCAAATAATGCAGCGTGCTGCTAGAAATTTTCTTTAGTAAGCAAATAATGATAAAGTAATTGTACGTCAGTCATGGGCAATCTTTATATTTTTAAGCGTTCTCAAAAAAAATTCAACGAAGATTTGAGAGTACTTACATATTTAAAATATAAAACACAAAAAAAATCGAAAGTGTGGAGAAGTACGTTAATAAGTAAAACTCACGAACGTACTTTACAATTAGTTACATTTTACTAGTTCCAAATGACGATTTAAAATAATAAATATCTTAGAATAGCACCTTGGCAGCTTTGTTTGAAAACGTGTTAAATAAATAGACTTGAATGATTGTAACCATTCAAAAAATTAATGCAGCGTAAATATTAATTCAACCTATTTAGCTAGCAGTTAAGAGAATTCATTTAAGATCCCTGGAATAATTCATCTGAATCAGTTGGGGGAATTCCAAACCGAAAGTCTGTTTTCCCAGATCAACATATGCCTTTTAATTTTTTTTACTCATCTTTAACTTTTCCACCGTAAAAATATTCGGAGACTTCATCCTCAAGTTATTTATAACGGCCCTGTTTACACCCACCGTGCGATATTTAACCCGAAAGTAATTAATTCAATTTCCCCCGCATAACTTCCCCGGGCCGTATCAAAATATTTACAGCTGTAAATTGCGAAAAGTCCCAGTTCTTGGGATATCCTCTGTAATTAGAATCCAGACACCTAAACTCATTAACCCGAGAATTGTTACAGATTTGTGTTAAGCGAGATCTCTCGCCCCCTGGAAGTCTCCGCTTTTCGAAAGTACACAGACCGTTTCTCATCCTGAAAAGATTGGTCACGCTTGATAATACCTAATTGATAATACTACTCGATTTTTTTACTACACTTTCGAATATCTGTTTCTGCTTGCGGCCAATCGACATATTTCGTCAGCAGATAACTTTAGAGGAACACCCTGTATATCTACGTTTTATTGTCGTCAAACAAAAATATAGGCTCTAGCTAAGGGAAAATTTGCGCCACAGATGTGAATTTTGGCCGATACTAGGTGTACATATTTACTGAACATCAATAAATGCCAAACTCAATTTATGAAGGTGCCTTTTTTCCTTTGGGTCTTGCAAAGTTAAATAAAGGCTCCTCGTCTGCGGAAGTCCGAAAAATTTACCTACTTTGTACTTTATTGTCGCTGAATTTTAATACGTTTTATGGTTTATCCTCAGCGTGCTCAAAAGATAAATTGAAGATGGTATTTGTGGCTGTTATTTTTTAAACGTATATATGTGGAGTGTCAAGGAGTCGATTTGGTATTTCGTAATTTCTCAGCAACGGGAGGATTATAAATTGTTTCTGCATGAAGAGCGTGTTTTTTTTATTCTCTTGCCGTGCAGTGCACCTCATGAAGTGATTAATGGAAATTCGCCATTAATTCTTTAAAATTAACGAGTTTTCTTCTACGAAAAAATGGACATGTTACTTTTACTTATTTTCAAAATACCTCTCGAGCAAATAAAATCTGTGTTGGGTGTGGGGAAGGATGGTGTGGCCTCGTCAGGAATTAATTGCACAATTAAAACATAAATATCTAAATTGAAATTTATGTTCTGTAATATTAACATCGATAGACTATAAATATACAGGGTGATTACAAACGGTGACCAAAAATGAAACCTCGTATTCTTTGGTGAATTTAAAAGGGAGTCTTTCGTTTAAAGTTTTTATCTAGGACGCTTCGTTAAAAACATTCAGGGTGTTAAACTTAATAAAATATTTTAATAAAAACGCCTGATTTTCGTAAAACTTAAACACTGAAAACACTTTTGCTTAAATGACCCTAATCATTTGGTTATTTATTCGAATAAAGAAATTAATAACATTAGTCATCATTTTATTGATTTTATTTGAGTAAATGCTCAAAAATACCTCCATTTCCACGAGCACAGACGCGACATTTTTTTAATAACGAAAATGTAGTTTGTTCGAAATTTATTGTTGCTTGAATCTGATGAAAAGCATTATTTATTCTTTCTTCTAACTGATAAGAATGTCAAAGTTGCTATAGCAGCCTACTATGTTATTTTAAACCGAATTTTATTCGAATATCGAAATGTGTTTTCAGTTCGTTTTTTAAGTTTTACTCGAAAATCAGGTTCTTTTCGAAAAACAAAAGAGAGTAGTAATTTGTAGAAAATTTAAAGGAGAATCCGAAAATATCATGATTATTACCGTAAAGCAGTGGCGTACTATTTTATTTAGAAAAATTCACCAAAGAATACGCGGTTTCATTTTTGGTCACCGTTTGTGAATCACCCTGTATACTTTAATTATTACGGTATTCTTCAAAATGGGTTAGTTAATTTATAGTTACTGACGGTAAAGTAAAGTGTGTATTGGAGGCCGGACTGAAATATTCTAAGTAATTTTCTTAATACACCAGATTAAAGAGGTGTATAATATATGAGACTGAAGAACCAGTTTTTATTAAATGTGAAACGACCTGAGCCACAGGTAAATTTGGAGCAAAAAAAGTAATCTGATTAAATATTTGGGAAAACCTCTTTAATGTCAAGTGTGCTGGTTACCGGTGCCTTTACATTACTTAATTCTGACTCAAAAAAAATCTCAGGTTAAGAAATTTGCATCGCATAGGTCAAATATTTCGTAAACCGAAATATGCAGTATGATTTAAATAAACAATTGACATTTGAAAATTTTGTTACGTGACGAAATTACTTAGTTTTATTAACCGATTCAGTATCGACTTCTAAGAAAAAATAATTTTAAATCTCCTTTTACTATTCAAAGAAATTGTCTAGCCCTGGAAATATTAGTATTCGCATTTTCTTCAGAAATTATGAAACGTGCCAAAGTTAAGCTAAACCACGCATTGGTAGCAGCCAATTCAATTCTAGTAGTCGGAGATTTGTTTATTTTTTGCTATTCCATTTTCCTAAAATAGACCTAACATATGTAACATAGTGGCAAATGTTTCATAACTATTTATATTAATTAATTTATGTTGATTTAACTAACGAGTAAGTTTATGCTTGATGGACGGAATAAAATATTATTTTATGAATTTTCACCGCTTTCATAACGATACCGTACCCATATGTTTTCTAGCGATACATGTGCACATGTAATTAAAAATATGCAGTTTAAAATGTATCACCTTTCCACTGAATGTTTAACATAAAGATTATTAAATATAAATAAAACCGTTGATAAAAAATATCTCGTTGGTTAAACGGACTAACCTTTTGACATTCGCTTACAGAATGACATTTTGACACAAATACTAAATATAAGTTCTTTGCATTGCATATAAATAGATCAAAATTGTCTGCCTAGACTTTATATTCTTCGAATAGTACCAGGACGATGACAGTAGATGCTGCTAGAAAGCTTCGAGTTTTGAGCGTTTTATTAATGACAGTAGATTTTCCAGAAGAATTATGATGTACACATATTACACAAACACAAAAATTAAAACAATTGAGATTATTAGTAACAGTTTACTAATAACCGCTAATGTAAATTCCTCGGAAAATAAATTCACGCCAGGTGTCAAAAATATCGCAATAGGTTTGGGCAATTAAAAGAAAGTGTAATATTACAAAACGAGTGTTATTATATTCAATGCCAAACGACCATCCTCTAGCGAGTGTAATTTTTTTCAAATGCCATTCATATGATTAATAAAAACAGACTTGTAACAGTTTCAAGAGGTGTTCGCAGAATACTTTCATCTCAATTAAAAAAGTCAATTGAAGAGCGAAGCGAATTATGATGGGAAACATGCGAATAGGTACTTAAGAAGAAACGGAAAGTGAATTTTGACAAAGTTTAAATCAACCGTGAACTTGAATTGGGCAAATACAGTAGTGTTTATCTAGAACGCATGATATTTATAAAAAAGTTTGTGGTGTGTTCAATTTTAATATAACAGTAATTTAGAAATGATAAATTCATATAGAAATACTTCATTTTGTTTTTAAAGCGTTTTGTTTTTTATTTTAGTTTCAAGTGCACAGAATTGTAAACGAGCAAAAATAATTTGTTAATATAATTTTATTTTAAAAAAATGTGTAAGAATCGGCTTTAGTAATGTTAAAAATCAAAACCAGGGATTTTCAAGATAAAGAATACAGTTTTATGATTAATAAACGGTAATTTTCGAAACGCCAATTCGTCTGCTTCTTTATTTTTTATTATTATAATTATTTTCATAAAAAATAACACAACCGATTATTTTGGAAATTTAATTTAATTTAATCTAGACAGTTGCAGTTTTATTTTAAAAAATATGCAAACATGAGCCACAATTTTCTCATTAGAAACCGCCAAAATAACATTGCGACGAATTTTCTCCACAGTTTTGAATGATCTAACTTTCGTTTAATTTACAAACATGATAAATGACATTTTTTAGGATCGCCTTCGCGACATAATTTTAAAATAAACCTGCACGTACGCGCTTTTGAGTGTAACGCGAGTTTACCTTAGGATTTCGATGGTCGATGCACTGTCACAGTTTCACGAAATAACAAGCCGACCACGAGACTTCAGAGGCGCATTGGCACCGACTACAGAGCCCCAGGTGAAGCTTGTGACTACTGACTACTCGAACTCGAACTCGGGGCCCGCGCTTGTAAAGTTCCCGACCGGTTCGAATGCATTGAGTAAAAGCTCGACTTCACGCGTACGGATTCGGAAACTTACGCTTTCAGGATTTGCATCCTTTAGGGATTATTTGAATTTTAACACACGCCTCGGCCTGCTCATCAATACTTTCTCATAAAAAGTTTGAAACTTGCGAATAAAATTGACGCGTACTTCTTAAAATTTTGCCCCTACCCGTAAATTGTTGTTTGCGTGTGCCAGTCGTATTTTTATGAATAAGCACAGGGACCCATACCCTTCTTTTTTGAGATGATCTCTACGTCCATAAAGAGAACTTCTGCGATGAAAAAAATTAAAATACGAACTATTTTATAAAAATTTTAATATTTCTAGTACATATTATGAATTTTGAAAATGTAAAAAAAATTTCTTGCTTCAAATGTACATTTGATTTTAAGGTATCGCACGTTTATACAGGGTGTCCCGCATACAAACCAACAGAAGGCAGGTACATGTAGGGGTGTCCAAAATATTGTAATTTAACCAAACTTACCTATATACAAAGTTGCACCCCCTAAGTGGGGCCCTAAATTTCGAAAAAAATTAATATCGCTGCAACACTTTACCGCAGAAGAACCAAATTGGGTACATGATTTAGGTTTATTACTGGTCTTCTTTGAAAATATGTCTTTAGATCGATCCAACTGCTTTTTTGTCATTACTTACAAGAAGATGTGCATACACAGACCGTAAGTGGCTCCATCTATCGTGCTACTTCACACCTACGCCATTCTGTGACCCGCTACAATTTTCTTTCAAGAAAACATAAGTTTGATTATAATATGCTACGTTTGTCTTGAAATAATTCCTACATTAATACTAAATTTTAAATATACACATATATTTTAAGGAACTGGTAGTTTTGAAACAAATACGTTTGCAGTTTATGATGAACTGAAGAGATATTGTAGCTAAAGTCCGAGATAATAAATTTCAAAACTATAAAAAAATTGAATTAAATTATACTATATATTTACAAATAATATAAATTCTAAGAAACATTATAGATTACAGCAAATATTTCACATAGTTCGACGAAAGTATACAGGGTGATTCACAACTTATCCAAAAAAATTTAGCAGCATGAGAAATGGAATCAATATCGTAAAAAAATTTTTTGTAAAATCCTTATATATTGACGTTATAGTACATTCAACCACTACATAGCTGGACAACTGTAGTCTCTAGCGTCATTCGCCACGTGGCCTCAGCGACTCCGAATACTGAATTCGGATTTTGCAATCGTCGTTGCGATATTTATCTGTTATCTGTGGTGTTTACAATAGGTTTTTAGTAGTTAGTGTCAAAAATGGTTTGCGTATACTCGGAGTTGATGGATATCGTTTTAATTTATGGTGAAGCATTTGTGTTATGGTGAAACAAGGCAACATTTGTGTTAGTTTGTAGAAACTGTGTACAACGGACCCAAATGTGTTTACACCTTGGTGGATAAAATTTTGAACAATTGTTGTAACATCGGGTATGTCAAATGATTTTATTATTTAAAAACACAAATTTCATATTTCTTTAAAAACCTTTTTTTTAAATACGACCGCTTCAATTTTCACGAGCCGCCGCTGGCGTCTGCTCACATTCCTTCGTAATATCATAATTTCATAATGTGCGCTCTGCCCAAATTTTATACGAAATTATTTGCAAAATCTTTACGAGAAATCCTCTTAGGCTTCTTTATTACAATTTTTAATTTTATGTCCGTTCCATGTCCGTATATTACATTTTTTAATGCTACGTAAAATCAGTATAAACTAAGTCGGCGGTTGTTTAATATTTAGTCTGCTGAATTTGATGTTTTACGCGAATAGAAAATAATATTCAGAATTCGCTGACGTTTCCAAAAATAATTTTTTGTGTAAAACCAGCATGACCCTTTTTATTCCTTTATAATAAAGCATCTGGGACTATCGCTATCCTGAAATAAAAAATGTGGCTATGCTGACGGATAAAGTAATCTTTAATCAAAGGGAAACGTCATGATTTTTTAAAATATGCCAGACAAATGACAGAAAATTAATTATTAACTCCAACCGAGCAAGTTCAAAGGGTGGTTGCTGATAGTGGAATGATAAAAACGTTTTGGTGAGGGATGGGGGTACCTCTTATTTGGTACGAAAATGTACCATATCTTTTAATAGTCCCTATTTTGAGACAGTACCGCAAACTCGCCATATTGGCTATTTTTAAATTGAAGGTGCAAATTATTCATTAAATTCTTCGGAAATTCCTAGAAGATTAGTTCATTCTTAAGTGTTCCTAGAACTAACTGTATAAAAAGGTAAATAAATATTTCTCGGAAAACCCTGCATTCAAATTTTTTCTAATGTTTACGTTGCTACCAGATTGCATGATATTCCCCATATTGTTACAAATTTACTGGAGTTTGAACTTGAACTTGAAGCGACGTTTAAAAATACATAAATCATTTTCGGATATGTTCGTTTTGTTTCATTCATGATTTTCCTGGAATTGTCTTATGAATGGCTGTACAGGGTGGCTCATTAGAACCAGGAAAATCCTCCAAGATTTTTTAGGACACGATTCGAGTAATTTTTTTATACAGTGTGCCCACGGATTGGAAAGAGGGGCAAATTTTTTATTTTTTGGCTAAAAAATTCTTTGATACTTACAATTGCGATGACCTGGAGATGCGCTGTGCTAAAAAGCATTGATTATTATTTTTGTGCTGTTGTGTTTCAAATAATTTCTTTGTTGAGGACACCTCATAACACTTTAAATACAAGCGGAATTTTTTTACAAATTTATGTTATGTGTAACGCACAAAATTGTCGTCAATAATAATTCATGAGGCATAAGGATTGGCTCCAATTTGGTCCTGATTCTCTTGAAATTATTTATTTTAACTAAATTAACCATTAATTAAAACTACCGAGTAATTACGATAAAAAATTGGACTGCGTAATACAATTTTCAGTGACATTTAAATTCCTTGCAAGAACCAGTTCGATTTTCGGAACTGGGTTGAGTTAAACGAATATCATTCGATAATAAACGCGTACAATCGAAACAAGCGGCCGCTGATGAAAGCCACGCCAATTTGGAATTTACAAAGAGACCAGTTGAATCGAATGCATGGACTTAAATAAGTAATAGTTTATTTTATAATCGCCTTTAATGACTCAGGCTGTATTTAATTATACAAAACTCGGAATCGATATCTGCTTATTATTTCTACGTTTAAATCTACCAGAGCCCCAGATGCTATTTTTCATTTGTATCTAATAAATTCGACAAATAAATATCCAGTTAATTATTTGCTGCATACGTACAGGATGCTACATTTCATCAAAATATAAAAATCTATTTTCCATAAATAACTCTAAAATATATGTATATACGTACCAAGAAATTAAGGTGCATTTTTTAATCCAGAGATTATTATTTAAAAACATCCTTGAGGAATTTAGAAATTTGTGCCTCTTTGTTGTTCCCTTAAAAACAGACTATTCATTTTCTAATATGGTTTTCCAATAAAATAAGTATTCGAGATTTGCGGAAGAAAATACAGCGACTGTTGAGGGGTATACAAGGGGTATTTTTGCAAGTAATTTTTAAATTGACATTTGAAAACAAGGTGGAAACCAAAGTAAAAAAGGACAATTTTTTGACGATTGTGTGGGCTTTTTGAAAGAGAAGGGAAGTGATTTTTTTTTCACTGGATTTCATATGATTTCTCAAAAATGGTCAACGATAAAAAGTTTTGACTTTTAGATCTTGAAACTAGAAACTTCAAGCTTCAGGAAACCAAAGTAAAAAAGGACAATTTTTTGACGATTGTGTGGGCTTTTTGAAAGAGAAGGGAAGTGAATTTTTTTTCACTGGATTTCATATGATTTCTCAAAAATGGTCAACGATAAAAAGTTTTGACTTTTAGATCTTGAAACTAGAAACTTCAAGCTTCAGGAAACCAAAGTAAAAAAGGACAATTTTTTGACGATTGTGTGGGCTTTTTGAAAGAGAAGGGAAGTGATTTTTTTCCACTGGATTTCATATGATTTCTCAAAAATGGTCAACGATAAAAAGTTTTGACTTTTAGATCTTGAAACTAGAAACTTCAAGCTTCAGGAAACCAAAGTAAAAAAGGACAATTTTTTGACGATTGTGTGGGCTTTTTGAAAGAGAAGGGAAGTGAATTTTTTTTCGCTGGATTTCATGTGATTTCTCAAAAATGGTCAACGATAAAAAGTTTTGACTTTTATATCTTGAAACTAGAAACTTCAAGCTTCAATTTGCTTTCTTTAACTGTAGACTAGGGCGGATCTGTTTTGAGGTGGATGTGAGAGGGGGCAAACAAATGTTTTCTGGATTACCTTCATTTTGAAAATGTTCCGGACCTCGCTCAGATATAGGGATCTACACCTTTATTATGTGAGTTGTACTGAAGGTATTCCAGCAAAAATTAGCTTGCCCCCTCTTACATTCAAGATCCGCCCTGGTCTATTGCTCTACGACCATTTTCCGACAAGTTTACAGCCTTTCGAAAATCACCTAAAAATTGCCTGCGACTAGTTTATGCAGGCACTGCATAGAATAATAATATACAATAATTATTTTTGTTTCTCTTCTAAGAAACATTTTGATTTTTATCATTTCTGTAGTAAAGAAAAATACGCCGCTCTTTTTAATTTTAATTTCTTAATCACTTATTGACACACACTGTGGTTTTAAATTAAGTTATAATTAGACACTTATCTTGATATCACTTGCATGAGCGGTGAGTCACTTTGTATTGCAGCTTAATTTTGATCGACTCTAGGGTGCAAATGAGGCAGCACGTATTATTCGCGGAATTAAAATATTTTTAGCGATCTTCCGATTAGCTGATTGAAATGCCTCTCCCGTTGTTTCTCTGATCGAACGTTGAATGAGGCAGCGAGATTTTCGAATTCCCGTACATCGTAGACATCTGCT